ATCGAGGCGCTGGAGCTGTCCGACGACCAGCTCGACAGCATGAAGATTTCGGTCCTCGTGTCATGCTTTAGTCTGGGCCTGGGCTTCGCCAGCCGAGACAAGGCCGACTCGGCCGTGCTGGAGCTGCCGGGGAAAGTCGGCTGGGGGCCAACCATGGGCGGCCTCGTCCTGGCGAGGTCACTCGAGGTCTTCAGCCGCATTCTGGCACTCAACGTGCTGCAAGCGTCGCTGCGGGGCTTTCCGCTGCTGCGATTCGCCGGCTTGGGAGCAGTTGCACTCGCTTTCCTCGCGGCTTGCCTGGCCTTCCCGGACGCCTCCTGGGCCGACCGCGCAGCCCCTCGGCTCGGCCCGGCAGCTGCAAGCGCAGCTGCAAGAGCAGCTGCAAGCTCCTGTGTAAGCTAAACTCAACAAATCACGTTCTTGGCGCACGTCTTGCTCCAAGCGAGGCCGCGGTGATCGCCCACCCAGGACAGATCCTGGAGCCGAATTCCCTGCTAAAATTGCGGCTGCTCGGCGGTCGACTTCGGGTAGAATTCGAGCTGGGGGAGGGCGGGATGCAGAGAGCTGCAGAGGCGCTGCGTCGCGGGACGTTCGGTAGCAGTTTTTTCTATGGGAATCTGCTGCGAGGTATTCATGCATGATCCACGTCGTGCTGGTGGCTGCTGCCGGAGGAGGGCAGTTGCTGCTGCGGACGAGCACGGCCCCGCCAGCATGTAAGGCCGCAGCGTTTCACATGGCTGCACGCTGTCTGTCTGCCTGCCTGCCTGCCTGCCTGGCTGGCCGTCTGTCTGTCTGTCTGTCTGTATGTATGTCTGTATGTATGTATGTATGTCTGTATGTATGTATGTATGTATGTATGTATGTATGTATGTGTGTATGCATATGTAGGTGTAGGTGCATGTGTTTGTGTATGTAGATGTAGATGTGGATGTGAATGTGGATGTGGATGTAAATGTAGATGTAAATGTAGATGTAGATGTAAATGTAGATGTGTACATATATATATATATATACATACCTACGTATATATGTATGTATATGTATGCATGTGTGTGTGTATAGTGCTGTGCAGATCTGTGCAGGAAGTTGATTACAGGAGGTTTTGGGTCCTGCATCCGGAAATTTGTTTGCTGGACACAGGTCCTGCCGGATATGCTGCTGATTGCGTGGCTCGTGCCGGGCTTGACTTGTCCAAGTCAAGGTCGGGTTGTGTCTTTACGTGTGCCGGCGTGCCCTGGCCCCTCACTCACCCGAGGTCGTGAGCTTCGTCAGCTGGGCAGCGCTTGGCCTCCTCAGTCGCTCTGAGTGGTTTCGATTTGTTTGGAATGTGCAGGCCCTCGCATGCGTTACATCGCGCGGGAAGCCTCAGGCTGGCTCGGCCACCACGTGGAGCAGCCACGCTTTGCGGCTTTGGCGTCAGGCGCGCACTGCAGCAAAACAAGCACGCATCGCCACAGCTGCTCGGAAGTGTGCCGCCACTGTTGCCATGAGGCGACGAGCCGGTCATAGCCTACTCGACCTTGCTGGCTGGCTTCCCCAGCCCGGACGGCCAGGCACAGGGCACGGGGTTGAAGATTGCAGGGAGGCACTAACACGCATGCGGAGCTTTGCAGGTGCCCAAGGCGGTCCTGGCAGCAATGCAGGGCAAGTTCGCCGTCGACTTGACGACAGACGCCGCGGTGACTCGGATCCGAAGTTGTTCGTGCTTGGACCACGCGGTTTGGGCTGGGGGAATCTGCGTGAAGGGATGATTTTATACATAAGCTGCGATGAGCGACTCTCTCGCTCTGAGCTCCGAGCTCCGGAAAATATTCGGCACCCCCTGGCCTCGAGGCCCGCGGCTTGACGCAGCAGGGCCTTGAGAGGATCCTCGCGTCCACCGGTGATGCTATCCACTTCGATGGCGAGGTGGTTGAGAGGCTGGCCATCAACAGGATGGCGGTGGTGGAGGGCTTGGCGACGTCGCATCCTACCACTCTGCACCTCCCTGACTTCTTCGTCCCAGCGGACTCTTGGGAGCGCTTGGGCGCGAGCCTGGACAGCGACCGCCTGCGGAAGGTGGACCTCGAAGGGCCCCTCGGCCTTTCTCTCTAAGCCTTTTTGGGGAGAGCTGTGCCGTGCCGGGAGAGCGCCGAGGTGCTTCTGGTCTTCTGGCGCGGGCTCCAAGGCGCTGCTGGCCGGGCTGGCGCGGTGCCGGAAGCTGCAGGACGTCGCTGTGTTCCGAGTTCCGAGCTGCCTGCGCTTCCGGTCAAAGAATGCGGGTTTGGCGGCCTGGGGGCCTGCTTTTCCCACCCAGGACCTGGCCATGGACAATTGCCGCAAAGTCCCGGGCGAGGCCTGGGCGGAGCTCCGAGCCGCGGAGTGGCCGGAGCTCCGGAAGGCCAACTTTATTGGGCGCCTCGGCCCTGAGAGCTGGCGGGTCGGAGGGTTGATGGGTGGAGGGGAGAGAGAGAGAGAGAGAGAGAGACCGTAGCCATTTTGGCTCAAGGCGTGAGTGGTTCGAGCCCCGAGCCCTGAGAGATCCAAAGGGGAGCAACCCGGCGCGGGCCTGAGAGAGAGACCTGTGCCTAGCTATCGCCCTCTTGTACCAGTCCGCAGCACTACGCGTCTTCCTCGTCATCGCTGTGAGCAGGCAGTTCGGTGACTTCACTCCTGTTCGTGACCGCTGCTTGACAAGAAAGGGACGCTGACAACCACTACCTGACGGTGACCGGCGAACCTACTCGGCCACCACCTTTTCGGGGACCTTCGCCGGGAGGGGTGAGGGACACCATCACGTACATGACCGTGATAGTGGCAACCCGGCCGTGAATGCAAACCTCCATGGCTGGTGGAAACAGGGACATTTCCCCAAGCCCCCGCGAAGAGCTGACGACCGGGGCCATCATCCAGGCGCTTCAAGGGGAGCTGCACGGGTGTTTCGCTAAAGCCCAAGCCCAGTTTGACGAAACAACCTTTCAGGTGGTCCGCGAAGCAGTTGCCCAGGCCACCCGAAGAATCGAGCAGGTGGAACTCCACCTCAACGACCAAGTGCACCAGGCCCGCAGGTGCATCCAGGAGCTTACGGAGAAGCGGGACAACTTCGAGGCGCAAATGGCCAGGACTGCTACTATAAACAAGCAACTCCTTTCAAGAGTTCTGTTCCTCGAGGAAAAAGTTTCTGCGCTAGTGCACCAGACGGGGACACAGCATGCCCCTCCCTCACCCTGCACCGTTAGAGTCCGGGGTCTGGCTCGAACTTCGACCGCCCATAAAGTAGAGGACGGCCCTTTGAAGCCATTGGGCTCGCCTTTCTCCCCAACACCGACCTCTACAACTCCGCTACCTGGACGAGGGCACCCACGCCAAATGGAGGAGCGGCAACGGGGCCAGGCAGCAGTTTGCTTACGCTGCCAAGTGGGCCCGAAACACCATGGGGGACACAACCGCCAAGACCCTTACTGTGTGTTCCACGGTCAGAAGGCCATGAACGGAGGCGAAGCCCTGGCCTTCCTCAAGAAGAAGCAACCACAAACTACAACCTCCTCGCCGCCGACTACACGATCAACCCGGAGCCCACGAACGAGACCACGAAACCTACCACACCAGAGGCAGCAACAGGGGATTCACCAGCCCAAGAAGATGGCTTCGATGTGGATGCCGGCTTCAACGAGCTCATGGCATGGACCCCGCCGCCTGACTCCAAAGCACAAAGCCCGACCAAAGCCCGCCACCACAGAGGACAGCACCGCCCAGCAAGAGCAAGCAGCCATAGCTCCACCAACGCAGCACAGCCTCAGCCTTGCCCGCCGTCAGGACAGGGGTGATACGGCCACCCCCAGCCGGAGCATCAAGCGAGGACCGAGACAGAGTACAACAACTACGTCTACTACCAGGGCGCCGTTCAGGGGACCGACGTGAAGCACGCCTGCCACGGGGACACCGAGGACTCCCGGGAGGAGCGCGACAACCACACCTGCTACCAGCCCACCGTGGGACCAACAACGACTCCCACACCGTGGACGGCTTATTACCTTGTTCCACCAGACGCTGACGAGACACAGCACCCACAGGTAGACGTGCCAGAGGGGGACAACCGGACTTATAGGACGCCCCCAGGGACAACTGGACTTATAGGACATTTTGGGGTTGCGAGCTGAAACCCACATGGATGACGGAAAAGTTCAAAGGCATGTTTTCTCTTGCTTGCTGACCACATATATACATTGAAAATACCCATAAAGCTTTAAAAAAAGCGTATGCAAGCCCAAGTGCGTTCATTTTTTTAAAATGGTTGTGATGGGTTGATCAGAAAATCTGGCGGTTGCTCAGAAAATCCTGGACTCGACAAATTAAGTCGTTGTAGTTCCAAGGTATTTTAGGAACTATTTTGTGCAAATGTCGACGGCACCCACCTGGACAACATATCTCTATATTTGCTATGTACTAAAAATATAGATACATAATTTAAAAAATAAAACATATATATATATACATACATAGCATGCATGGAGCAACACTCCTGCAGAACTGCCGGGCCCTCAGCCCTCATTTTCGTCCTGGAACCCGTTCGTCCATCTCAGCGCTTCAAGAAGGCAGTAGTGCTGGATCGCTCTCACCGAGGACGTTCGAGGATGCATATGCAGAATGATCTTCCTTGGCACTTCGATCTGTGAATGTATTATGCGTGTATATACATACGATGGAATATATACTATATCGATATCATGTATTTGTAATACATATATACATCGATCCGATGCTTACAGAAACGCACATATACACATATATATATATATACACAGATCTACATCTACATTGACATTAATTTACATTAATATATATATATATGTATACTAATATTATAAATATATATATATATTGTTATATATATATACACATATATACATATATGTACTTCTATTTACATATATATATATAACTATATACATATATATGTAAACAGAAGTACATATATGTATAGGTATGTATCAATTATTATTTAGTCAATATGAATATAAGTTAAATATGAATGTTAATGTATGTATGTATATATATATTATACTGTTATTATATATATACATATACCTATATATATATATGTGTGTGTCTATATTTCTTACTTATATAGCTGCATGCATGCAAGCCTGCTTCGTTCTGAACATCATGTCCTCGTCCAAATAGCAGCTGAGTAGCGCGCATTTCCTGCATACGGGAGCCAGTCAAGTATCCTTGGTGAAATCGCGATCGCTGTACTGCAAAGGTGCACATGCATGCGTGAGGTGCAGGCGAGCTGCAAGTGTTCCAATTGGTGCATTTTGGGCCTAAGCGGGTACCTCAGCCTCCAGTTGTTTGTGGCATCCTTCGTCAAGAAGTCGTAGCTATGGCGGTACAATGTAGGCTTCATAAGCCACCACTTCGGGATGGTCATCGTCCGACTATAATTTGTATGCGTCCCGGAATTCAGAACGAAAAAAACCATTTTCACACGGGATCGGCCGAAGATATCTTCACAGGGCAGTTTCACGGGACATCCGGAAAACAAGATGCACGCAAATTCACACATCCACCGAAAATGAATTTCACGAAATGTCACGCGGGATCGGCCTTCTAGGAATATCCCGGAACCCCGAACATGAATTTCACGGAATTTCACGCGGCCTGGGTGCTTTGCAGAATGTGTGAAATTCCGTGAATTTCATTTTCGGGGGTTCCGAAACCATTCTGCATAGCACCGAGGCCGCGTGAAATTGCATGAACTTGCCCTCCACCTGAATTTCACGAAAGGTCCGCCGCAAGGGCCGTGAAATTCACGTGAATTTCACGGCCCCTGCCCTTTAGAGCCGAAAATAAATATAAACAAAGAAATAAATATATAATAATAATAATAATATTAATATTAATAATATCATATCTACATATCGTTGAAACGATATATACATATATATATATATGTGTATTTATTTGTTTATTTATTTAAATACAAGTGTAATATACTATAGTATAGTATAGTACCCTAGGAATCCGAGACCTTAACTATTGAGGCCTCGATTCGATCAAGACCTGTCCAGGAGAGGTCTTTCAACATATCTCTCTCTCTCTCTCTCTTTCCCTCTCTCTCGCTCGTAGTGAGGGTTCAGGATCACTGAGATTTTGGGGGTCAGGGCTTTTAGTATGGCTGTTGCTTTTCGGAACCCAACGAAGCCTCAAACGACTTCTTGAAGCCGCTAATGTAACCCGATGCATCAGCCCGAACCTTTCAACTATCGTCCCAAAATACTGAAGCTTCGCCAAGCCTATTTCCTCCAAGACCCAACCCCGAAGAGTTTGTACTAAGAGAGCACATGTGCCCGAAAATCGCGAGAACCCGAGCACGCACGAGGCTTGTAAATCCCATATACACCATAAAACTTAGCCCTAAACCCCGAGTCCTAAAGATCCAGTCCTATTATTAATTAATGAACCTTAAACCCCAAACCCTCTCCCACGCAGGGATCCCTGGAACGATTCGAGCCCGGCTGCTATCTGGAGTGGGGGCTGGCGACACTTTGCAGAACATTGCTTAAATTTAGGGCCAGTTTAGGGTCTAGGGTTGAATATTTAGTATAATTAGTTATAATAATTGGGTTTAATATCATGATATATTCCAGGGATATTAGTATAAGGTTGTGGAGTATCGCGATCGTGACAATACCGACCGCGGGAACTGCAGCATTACACGCACCCGAACTCAACCCTAAGCTATAATATTAGATGATTATAAGGTTTAGCCGGTTTAGCTTTCAACCGAAACCCTAACCCAGACCCCGACACTAAGACTTAAGCAATTGCAGCCATATCCCAAAACGAACGCGAGGAGTGGAGCAGCAACATCGCCCAGGAGTTGGCAGATTGCATTAGCATCGAGCCTCGGCTTTATCCAATTTTAAAGGGTTTTCAGCTGGTTAGCGTACGAGCTTCGGCCTTATCTGAGGAGTTGGGCACTAACACCCCAGCAGGGGTTGAGGATCTGGCTGCATGTGGGGCTCGGGGTTCGCGAGCTGGCAATGTGTGGAGAGATGTACGTGCTCGATGCACGTCCTCTGGAGTGCCTCGTCATTTATCTATAGTAATTTATATATTTATCTAGTTGGAACGAATACCATGAGTTCATAACCTAGAAGACATTTCTTCGCTCCGGTTGCAGATCTCAGGTTTTGTTCTAGATCCTAGGTTCCGTAGATGGATAAGATCACAATTTATGTGAAAGCACGGGCAGAACCTAATTGCCCCGATGTCGTACCCTTCGAAATGCCAATCTTCCCTCCACATCGCCTTACTGCCTGGCTGGTTCGTACGGGCCATCTAAAGTTGGACCGAGAAGCTTCGCAGCAGTTCTTCGATCACTTCCGTGAGCACAAAGCTCCTTGGGTGGGGAGCTCGGCAGAAATCGGCAGAAACTGCAGAATTCCACCCGTACGGGCTTTATGGGGATGAAGCTGAGTATACGGTTAC